GGCCATCCGAGCCCGTGTGCTTCCAGTATCGGTGAAATCAAGGGTTTTCATGTGATAATGAATTATTATAACAGGACAGAGAAAGTATATGGGCCATTTTCAAGATGGGAACAAATGTCCCTTGGTTTTTCAGTATTGAAAAAAAATTGTAAACCCTCAATACATTTAGTGAACTAATAATTCAAAAACATTCTATTTGTGCTAAAATTCTTTTTTTTTCTTTTCATTAATTGAACTTGTCAAGTAAAAAGCAAAACAAAAAAGTAATAATAATAACAATAATAATAATAATAATTTAGGCTACAAATAAAAATACACAAGTTGTGGGAGTATGAGGTCAAAGTTTAGAGAAAGAATCAAATGTGGTTTCATCAAACCAAAATAAAATAAATAGTTTATTCCACTTGGTTAATTTCCACAGCCTATAATTTTGTGTATTGTTTAATGTTGGTGTGGAATTAAGTAATTAATTATTTAATGATTCAATGGTATATAGGCCAATGTACTGATTTCCCCCATCATTCCGCATCATCACCACCATCACCATCATGAAATAATTTTGTTGAGAGTTTGTCTTGGTGCTACAATAAAATAAGTAATAAAAAATTCAAGTTGTTTTTTTATGATTTTTTATGTAGCCTAATAATGTCAAGAAAAACCCATATATTTGCCTAAATTACATTTTGCAGTGCTAGAGCGAATTTCAAAATACCAAAAATAGATGTCATAGAAATGTCAGATTACCTAAGAGCATTATGAATACGCAATACCGCGTACTGTTGTATTTTTCCTTGCTCTGTGTTATCTGGCCTGCAGATATTCACCCAGCATTACACACTGACTAAACGATGCCCTGACAGCTGTTTAAACTGACAGCGCCATCTAGTGATAGAACACTGCAGACAGCAGATTTACATAATGCGAACGATCGACTCTTACAGTGATGCCAAACACACTTTAACACACCCTAGTGTATTCACACTGCCACAAAACTGATAGAAAAATATAACGAGACGAGGCCAGTAACGTTAATAGAACAATAAAAATCAATTAAATTACAACTGAATAAATTAAACTTCACCAAAACTTAAATGATGACAAAACTGTTGTACAGATCGATGGCTGTACTGGGGAAGATGCACTGGCTGCGTTCTGAGAGTGCATGCTAACAGATCTCATCAGATCTGGCTGTGACAGACATAACGGTTTGGGAAAATAAGAAACAATATTTTTCCCAAGTGTTTCTATTATACCTCCAGATTTATCTCAGTGAAGAAGAAAACCTCTGCTTCAACCTAATATGAGAAGACAAATGGGTCACCGACTGGAGGGGCACTACAGGGTGATAACTTCACAAGCAATCATTTATCAACAGAGTTGGGCAAGTTACTTCCAAAATGTAATACATTATATATTACTAGTTACTGTCTTTTGAAAGTAATTAGTTACGTTACAATATTACTGTCTCTGAATTGTAATGCGTTACACTAACAGTGACAAATAATTAAGTTGCTTGCCTAGACCTAGACAAACATAGATTTTTGAGATTGAAATTAGTTTATAATTAAAAAATATTTTTATTACAGTCAACTGAATCCAACCAACAGATTAAGCAAAAATGTATGATTCTGAATTGTTGGACTCAAGACCTCTGACACTGACCGGACAGACCAAAATATCAATTTTAAGGAGTGGATATCAACATTTAAAGATGTTACTTTTCATCCAAGATTAATTTTTTTTGTTAAGAATAGTTTCTCAACAGCTCTCACATTAAAAACATCTCTCAAAAAAGGCCATGGGACACCAAGTGAACAGAATTTGACTAGTGGTCATGGTTTGGCTGATAAGCAGAACCGTAGCACTAGTATACTGTAATATGAGCAAGTATTAGTAATAGTATCGCATTAGTACCTGTTTAGAAGAATTCAGTTCATGAATTTTAAATATAAAATCTGGTAAATATAAAAGTGTGGTACACAGAGCCCTAACTGTGGTCATCAATCATGAACCTAATAGCGATTTCACTGAAAGGAAAAGAGTCAGCAGGAACATCATTATCAAATGCATGTCAGCCTGAGGCATCCTTGTTTGCGGTCCAGCAGCAGAAGCCAAGATGCTCCTGTCAGCAAGCCCACCATGACACTCCCTCGCTGGGCTGTCCCAGGCAGCCAGATCCACAGGAAGTCAGCTCGCAAACACGGTGGTCCCATGCTTATAAAACATTGCCCATTTTTCAAGCTGACTGCAAGTAAACACTCCAGGGCACGGTTTTGATAAAGGCAGGAAGGAATATGCACACAGTCGCACAAAAACACACACGGGGAGGAAATGGGACAAAGCCTTCCCACCCAGCCAGCGGAGCTGGAGCGACCTCCAGATGAGGTGTCGTGTTGGAAGGCTGACAGAGTCGGAATTGGCCGAGGTCTCTCCAGCATTTAGCAACTCTTCCCCAGTGCCGTTCCTGTCTCACAGCAGATCTGGGGCCCAACCTGTCAGCGCAGGACAAATCCAATGAGAAAGCGTCTCTCGCACACATGTACAGAGACATAATTTAGGGCAGATGTGTAAGCCAAGGAGATGAGTTCTGGGATTTAGTTTAGTCTTTTAATTGGACAGCCAGGACTGATGTCACTGAGTAAAAATGTACGGATGAGATGAAAAATGAGAAATAAACAGAGCGAACTGTTATTAGAGTTTCGTGAGGTATGCTGGAAGTTGCATTGCGCAGAAAGACTCTGGCTGAAAACCATTCACCGCTACTGGGACAAAACAGATGCTCCCATATTTCAGAACTGACACAGAAATGGGAAAAACAAATAATTGAATTAGGAAGCAAAGTCACTGGGAATACGTGGGGATATGCACACACCCCGCAATGAAAGAGCGGCAGTCAGTGTCATACTCCAATGCTATTTTCCCATGATCATTCACTAGAGACGCAAAGTGTGTTTGTCTTTCAGTCAAGTTAAAGACAGATGTTGAACTCTTACAACTGAAATCTGAATTACTTTAAAAAGAAAATGTTTTCTCAGTGCAAAGACATTTTTTCAAACAATAAAAGCTATACAGACTATTTTATAAAAGCAAAATAATAAAACCTTTTTTTTACCTAAATATTGCATTGTGCATTTTTTACACTTTACTGAAAACAGAAAAGGGTTCCATAATGCTTTATAAAGAAAACTAACTGTAAATATGACAAATGAACAGTGTTTGTGCAGTTGTTTAAATAGAAATCATCATGAAGTCATCATTTACTCACCCTCAACACAAAAAAAGATAATTTGATGAATTGGTAACAGTTTTAATTTCCTGTAACTTCCATTATATTTTTTGGCCATACAACGGAATTCAATGGGAAATGTTTGGTTACTAATATTCTTCAAAACATATTTTATGTTCCACAGAAGAAAGAAAGCCATACAGGTTTGGAATGACATGAGATTTTTTTTAAGCTTATTTGTATATGTCCAAAATCTTTTGAAAAGCCCAGCAGTCGTAATGCCAAGCTTTGACTCAATAATTCAGATGTGAGTGAAATGAAGTTACGTATTTTAATCCAGTTTTGCTGTATGAAGTTGTAGATGAAAACCAAATGCTGAAAGAGGGAAATAAAGGCACATACAATAGAGTTAAAAAAAGATGGCACATTTATTGCTACATAAATGTTATATACATATTGTGTTTTCTGTTACAGAGACAGAAAAAAAAGAATTCGACTTCTTACTGCTGGTTTTCTGATGTGCATTGACAATAACTTGAATTTTGACATGGGTACAGATCGTTCATCAACCAACAATGCAGACTGGAGACAGAGATGGAGAGCACATCCTCTGGAACATCGAGCTCGTACAATACCCCATACGTACTAGACTGCCAGCTACAATCCTACTTATGTTCTTAAGATGCTATCCATAATCTTTTTTATAATAATGGACAAGTTATGGTAAATAACCGTACATTTTTTTTTTACTATCTAATATAGTAAAATAAAGTAAGAAACTTTTTACTCAAAACTTTTGATTTCAAAAATCTAGAAAGAGTAATATTTAGAATTCAAGAAATGTTCTTACAATATTATTGTATAAAAGACTAACTATAGTGAAAAATAAACCAAATGTTTTTTTTATCCTTTTCATTATTTTTTTTGTTATGAGGGAAAGCATCAGGGCATACAGCAAAATCTAACATATCCAAGAGAGGAAAAACAGAACACAGAAAAAAAAGAAGAAGAAGGGGAAAAAAACAGAGAAAACAAAAACAACAGACAAAGAGATGACTCATAACCTCGATTAATTTTCAGCCGGCAAAAATACAAGCTCTTGAATACTGAAATGTATAACAAGGCCACAAAGACTAGTGGATTTCACGATCATTTTGTTAAGGAAGGAAACTCTCCACAAAGCAAAGAAAGAGAAAAAACACAGGAGGAAAATAATGCTGATTTTCTGAAATCTTTCCTTTTGTTCTTCGTATTCGAGAGAGTGGTTTTTATGAGAATGTGGCAGTCTTGTTTCAGTGGTGTGAACGCATGGAAGACAAACAGACAGGGCAGAAAAAGAGATCCAAAGCAAGACGGTTTAAAAAACAAAACAAAAAAAAAACATTTTTGGTCTTAAAGAAAAACTCATACATTATAAAATGAAAGTGGTGACTGCTGCTCTCTTCAGATTTACAAAGAAAACAAATGACGGCAGAGCAAAATCCTGATCCAAACTGGCTTTGTTCATCATTTCCACTGTTTGCTGATTTTGATGCTTCACAGCGTTTGAATTCATAGAGCTTCTCTTTTTTCGAACAGACATTGCGCTCACATTCTGCTGATCAAGTATCAAGTACTTCAATGCATGAGGGGAAAGACAAAGCCATTCTAAGTAACTTAGAACATCCTTCTATTTTCACACGACAAATATACGCTTTACTATGAAGCCTAGAGAGATGCTTTGTATACAATTACAAATAAACATATAACATGTGGTTACTTTGAGTATTTCTTTTTTTTCTCTATTTTTAAAAAAAATCGTTAATGGTTTTAGAAAAACAAAAGAACATAAAACAAAACTTCAATTCAGGCCAGGTGAATGAATGGTCTTCGTTTTAAATCCAACAGTGCCATGTCTCGCGGTATGACAGAGATTCCTCAGTACAGATGGCCTCGCCATAACCACGGCTCTTCGACCAAATAAAGTATCGTCTGAATTCAAACAAACTGAATCGGAAATACGTCTTTCGCTTTACCCTTAACACTATATGGCAAAGGGATCAAAAGGACGAGACTGCATCCCCTTTCCCGTTTAAGACACTAAGAAATATGCAGGGAATGCTGGGGTCTTGTAACGTTCTGCTTTCAGTATCTGTACTGCTCACTAATGAGTATAAACATGTCAGCTTGTGTGTCAGCTCCTTTGACCTTTCAGTAAAGCCAGAGTTTGCCGTTCCACCATCGTCTCCACGACGCAGGGAATCCGGTCAGAACGCACAGGCTGATCCCATTTCGCCTCACTCTTAACTTTCTGTCTGTGACGAGGACTCTGAGCTACACTATCAACAGACATCATAAAGAATCTCATGCTGTTATTTGTGGAATGGATGTATGATAAATATAAATAATATATTATTTATTTTTCCTTTTCTTTTTAGACACAGGGAGCCATCAGATTCTTTCACAAGGGCACGGAATTTGATGTGAATATATTAATCTGATCGTGTGGATGTCTGAGCGGAGAGGCCCTTCCACCACAGACAGCACGGACAAACTGCAGATCTACTGAAACGCCACCAGCTGCTCATAGCAATGTCAGAACTTTCCCTTTAAACATAGACTTACAGCTCAGTAACATAATAAATAGGAAAAAAACAAACAAACAAAAAAGAAAAGAAAAGAACAAATTGCTGTTACAATGCATTCGTCAATTCAGTTTAGGCACACGGCAACTTCCACGTACAGGGTGGAGGGGGTGGCGGCAGTCTCTGATTGTACAGCTGCGGCACACGGCTTGCAGACAGCGATATGTGCTGAGGGGCTTTTATGTTTGATTTTTTTTTTCTCTGGTGGGCAGAAAGTTGCTTATCGATATGGGATGTCTTCACAGGGAGCTGGGCACTTGCCAGTTTTCTTCTATCTCAGGATTGCTTAACGGTGGAATTTTGCTTCGAGTGGTCTGTCTTTTCAAATTTGTGTCACAAACTGTGAGTCCTGTCCGCCCGTGGAAAGCAAGGTCACCGACTCTGTCTAACACACGCCATCGGGATCCATTTGATCTGAAAGTGAGGGAAAGATAAGGACATTGCTTATGACCCACTGTACTGACACTCAAATCCCTTTCTCATGTGTATATACAGTACCGTTCAAAAGTTTGGCCTTAGTAAGATCTTTATTTATTTTTTAAAGGAAATTAATACTTTCATTCAGCAAAAATGTATTAAATTGACAGTAAAGATATTTATGATGTTATAAAACATTTATATTTCAAACAGATGCTGTGCTTTTAAACTTTCCATTCATCAAAGAATGTTTCTTGAGAACCAAATCAGCATATTAGAATAATTTCTGAAGGCTCATGTCACACTGAAGACTGGAATAATGACTGCTGAAAATTCAGCTTTGTCATCACAGGAATAAATTGTAATTTAAAACATACGTTTTTAAAGTTTAATATTTTAAATTGTAATAATATTACATAATATCACTGTTTTACTGTATTTTTTTTTTTTTAAATTGAATGCATAAGAGACTCCTTTCTAAAACATTACACAAATCTTACAGACACCAAACATTTAAACAATATTGTAACTGTACACATCAGGAGTAATATAATCTCTTATTATAAAGTCTAGATCAGTCAATACATTCCAAAACCTAGTTTAAGGCATTGGGTGCATTTCCAATGTAAATGTTCCTAAAGGAAGGTAAGAAAGGATGCAGCTCACTAGGTTTTCGAGCAGAGCTTGTGCCTCAGCAAAGCAAAGAATCTTGCTTGTGGTGTCGTGTTTTAACCACCTGCCCGTTTTACATCTCTGTGTGGAGCTGATCGTGCTTACCTGGCTGTTCACAGATGGCCCATGGGGTTGGATGCGTCTGTATGGCCCGGGTGTACAGGCGGGTGGGCTTGCTGGGGGTCACCTGAAACCCCTGACACCTTCTCCTCCTCCCTCCTCTTAAGGCAGGCTGCTTTGGGGTTTAGGTTCCTCTCTGCACACAGGAGAATTCATATTATCTCACTATAGTTTATAAAGCAATACTAAAAAAAAAGGAATCATAACACTTTTATAGAGCTTTCATTGCCTTATAAAACCAGCTCTCTGAGATCTGTTGAACTGATTAATATAAATTAGGGCTGTTGCCAGGGCCCCTAGTGAAACATTACTGACCTGAGAATCATGTTTCCTGATAGTATTTCAGCTATCATGATGTGTCTGTTTAGAATCAGAACTAGCGATGCCAGATTTGTGAATTAATAACTATTGATCTAATCAGTCAGATGGTTTTGCAAAAAAGGTCTGTAACTTTTTGTGATTCAATCTGCTACACTGAGACAGGCATTGAGACAGTTCACTAACACACTGAATTGATTGTTTCTCACACAAAAACAGGATACTTTACAAGTCGGAAAACAAAAAGAGCACTGGATGAGGTGGATTTTTACAATGCACTGCATGAAACAAAACTTGTAAACATCTTCGATCATTTGTGAACGACTCTGTATGACAGCTAAATACAATATATATCCATAATAGTATCAAAAGTAAGAAATTCCCCCCCCCCCAAAAAAAAATGTTTCTGACTGAAAAAGATTAATTGTGATTTAATATTTTATATTTGACTGACAGATCTTATATAAACATGACGTAATTGCATTATGCTGGACAGTGTCTGACCTCTGACTTGCTGTTCGAGGTTGAGAATGACAGCGACGGCCTGGTGAAGAATGAGCAGTTTGGTCTGGGGCTTCTCGCTCTTCAAGTGCAGCTGACACATGCGGCCCAGCTCTTTGAACGCCCCGTTGATGTCCCGGACTCGCAGCCTCTCACGGGCGTTGTTGGCCATCCTCCTCTCTCGCTCACGCTCTGCCTTCTGCTCGGGGTTCAGGTCCTCGTCTTCATTGACACTGCTGCAGAACAATTCACAACTGTCAGACAAGACGGAGGGAACAATGTGGCCTCGACACCTGAACGTATATGTGCTTGATGCAACATTTCATTTCAGGCATTAAGTAAATGGAAGTGGTGCTCTGTGATAATATTTCATCACTGATAGATTCACTGTCTCTGAGGTCAATGTTGAAGTGCTGAAGGACACTTCCATGAGCGGTTGCCTTGCCTTGGTCGAGTGCTTCCCCGATTCTGCTTCATATCCCTTTTATCACCCTCGTCGTCTGATTTGAGGTCGTCAGAGGAGTGGTTATCATGCATGTCATCTTTTTCTTGATTCTCGACCTTCAGGTCCAGAGGAGAAGCAACTTGACTGGCCAGAACACTAGCGATTCCTGTCACACACAACAAAAGTACACAGTTACTTAAAGTAAACACTTAACCTCTAAAATGTAGCACTTTGTGACTTGTTGTGAGGTCATAAAACTGCGTATGAAGCATAACTGAAGAGGCAAACACGTCCAATACAAAAACAAAACAATAACTGAAAATAAAGTGGTGTAAAAAAAGCTTCCAACCTCTGAACATGTCTGCCTGGTGGTTGATCTCCATGCTGGAGGTAGGACCGGCGTTAGCCTGCAGGCCGCCGTGGTTGTTGTTCAGGCTGACGGTCTCTTCACGGTGAACAGAGCCCTGTCAGAACAGATAGCCATAAATACATGAGGCAGAGAACAGAGCAAAACATCAAGAGTTCCTCTGATCATGAAGCCATCTGATCAGTGCCGAGAAAACAAAAGTGATTTACATTAAACCGGGGAAGAGACAGATCTTGGGACTTCAAAGCGGAGAGAGTCTCTGTGTTCCTACTGTAGAGTGTGACCTCCCCTCTGAAGAACTGAGTGGTATTCACACTACAAAGAACGACCTTCACAGCCCCAAATTTGTGCTCAGAGAGACACGCGGCACTTCAGTCCTGAGTTCTGACTCTGTTCCACCAAAAAACACTCTCATGTTGTTTTCAATTTGAAAGCGTGCGTCTATACTTTGAGAGGCAGGTTGATTGTAACACAACACTGGATGCTGCACTGCTTCAGACAATATTGGATTTCAGGGGTAGTGGTAGAAGGAAAACAGCAAACATCAGGTTATTTAAAAGCATTTAAGTCAACGTGAAGCACATATATGTATATTGTATACTGTAATTTTTTTAAACACTGTGTATATACAGTATGCTTTTATTGGATGTTATATCTATAACTAATTAATTCATATTAACTTTCTTTTTTATAAAACGTATAAAACAATGAAGGTGGATTTTCTGATGGGATGTGAAGTTTACAGCTGACATGATCGAGAAGTTTTCAAATCTATCACTGGCTATTGGCTATTATCGTTGTAAACCATTATTACATAAACGTTACTACATTAAGAAGAATTAACAAGAATTTATGAAGGCTACAATACTTACAACAGTAGCCTAAAACAAAGTTTTATCTGCCATTCAAAAGTTTGGAGTCGGTAAGATTAGTAAAAAAATTTTTTTGAAAGAAGTCTCTTATGAGACTGTATTTACAAAAATACAGTAAAAACCATAATACTATAAAATATTATTACAATTTAAAAGAAACTGTTTTGAATATATTTTAAAATGCAATTTGTTCCTGTGATGGCAAAGCTGAATTTTTAGCAGCTGGTCTTCAGTCTTTACTGTCACTTTTGACCAATTTAATGTTTCCTTTCGGATTAAAGGAATTAATAAAGTATTAAAAAATCTTACTGACCCCAAATGTTTGATATATTTTTATACAAGTTATGAAAACTATTATTTTCTCTAGAAAAACTATGCTCTGCTGCATTGTGCACAGTAAGACCAGTAATGTGTTTTAACAAAGTTAATGAATTTAGATTTTTAAAGTTGACTTGAAGGATCAGTTTTTTTGTGCAATTTTTGAAATAGACACCAAGACATCATTTGTCAGCATTTATATGTAGAAAAACCTTCCATCAAAACAAAATGGCTTATTCACATGTGGATATGGCAACAAACAATCTGCCCTTTCATGCTGAACATCAAATGACAGTTTGACCAGCATTCGTCACTGGTGGCTTCCAAATGCATCTGGATTTGATCAACGTCTTGCCATGCGATTAGCGTCTCAAGGGAGAAGAAACCGCTGTAGCCCCCCTCCAACTCTCTTCCTTCCACCCCTGCCACAGCAGGCAGGAGCACATGTTCACCCGCGATCTAATTTCCTTTTTGAGGATCCACGGGATTGGGAGTCATGGCGAAAGGAGCAGAAATGGGGGAGGAGGAGAGATCTTTCCCCCCTTTTCCTTCAGGAATGCGTTCCTAAGTCACTGTTGGCCTCTGTTAACCTCCGTGCCGCCCAGGCCCAAATCCCTTCCCCCACGCTCTAATCTCAGCGCCACTCTCAACAGGTGTCCAAACAACTCTTTGTCTGTGGCAGAAGAGGGGTGGAGGAGAGGGGGTGCCAACCAAAGAAGGCGGCCATTTTCCTGTCTGGGCTTGATTACCATACAGCTGAGGTGCTCAGACACACACGACTAAAGCGTCAGATTTCTTGAGTTGTTAAAAAAGACGAGAGGGGAAAAAAAGAAAAGAGGGGAGACAGAAAGAGAAAAGAGTGCGCCAAAATAAAAGCACGCTGGCTGTGCTGAATCAGGACCTTGTCTGAGTGTGTGTTTGGGTCGAGCCTGGAGCACAGAGCTCTGTTTGTGTGTGTATGAACATATAGTCCACTGACAGCACTGTGACAGCTCCCGCGCAGATGAACGGATCATGACACAGCCCCAGCACTGCTCTGTCACTCTGCTGCAATCTCCTCTCTTCTGCCTGAATGAAACACACCTCTGTTCATCACGATTGAAAACATAAGCTGTGCCAAGCCAAAAATTTGTGAACATCACTTTTGTCACTATGTGGCAAACCAGAGAATGATTGAATTGTTTTTGGAAATTACAGCCACAAAGGGATAGTTCACCAAAAAATGACTTTCTTTCAATGGAATCTGAAAAAAGATATTTTGAAGAATGCTGGTAACCAAACTGTCCTGATGACCACTGACTTCCACTGAATGGAGAAAAAAAAAAACACATTTTGCAAAATATGTTTTTTTTTTTTTATGTTCCACAGAAGAAAACCATACAGGTTTGAAACAGCAGGGTGGGTAAATAATGACAGAACAAAATTTATTTATATGGACCTACATGAAAGAGATTTTATTTATCATTTACATTGTTTTTATTGCACTCTATAACCTTTTCTTATTTGTTTTTAATAAATTGTAAATCCAATTTTTTGTTAATTTTATGTCTTATGCATTTGTTATAATTATTTTATGTTTTTAAAATCCTTATCCTTTATGTAAAGCACTTTGAATTACTATTGTGTATGTCAATGCAAAACTATTAAGATATCTGATGTTTACACGGGGAGCTGGATTTTGGACCAATGAGGTTTCATCGTGGACTACTCTGTGTGACACTGCAGAAATGCAACCAACAACTGACAGCATGTCTTGACACTTGTTACAATCACAGCTTTTAAGACAATAAAAAAAACTGTAAACATCAATTTACATGAATAATATAGTTTTGTCATTTTATGTAATTCCTGGTTAGAGCACAGTGTTTGTGTTGTACATGATTTCTAAATGGGTTTCTTTTAGATTGGGGCTATGAAACATTATTGGCACACATAGAGTGTCTTGTGTGGAGAGGAGAGGAAACTATAAAAACATATATATTTACTTATACAAAATGATTTCTGTAATTGTACATGTTGAGTATGTCAAACTTTGTTTGACTTAAGCGTTAATAAACAGTTCTATGAAAGCTTCACTAACATGTGCTACAGCATTCCAGACATTAACTGTCTGTTTGAAACGTTAAGTGAGAACTGTGGGTTGTTCATCAGGAAATTTCAGATCTTCGTGGTCAGGTAGACTTTCCACTGTAGTGGTCATTCACGAAAACATTTTTGAGTGTTGCTTTAGTCTTTGGACAAAAACAAATAGGTCAGTGTCAGTTCATTTGAAAGCATATGAAGTTGAAAGAAAATCCAAATGCTGTTTTGAATACAGAAAAAAGGCCATGATTATTTCCTATTATTGGGAAACCACTGGGAAACGCCTCCCTCGCTTGTTCCGACTATTACAGCTGTGTGCAGATCTCTCTGTAGAAGGGAATGAATGTCGTGGGATGGTGGGGGAGATACAGAGCGCTTTAGTTTCAGCGGGTCTCACATCACGCAGGTCCCCACAGCCCCAGCGAGCTACGGTGTGGAAATGTCTTGCAGACCGGCACTGATCTACTAGATTCTACTGTGACTGCTTTTCCCATTCAGCCTGAGGAACGCAGCTCAAGGAGGGAGAATGAGCTTGGGTCCAGCCATTACACTTATGGAAAGTATGTGGGTTTAAGTTAAACTACTCTCAGTGGAAAATAGATCAGTTTCAGCACATGGCCAGGCCTTCATTTTAAACAGGTGGCTTAACTCTGTTTATTAGCCTATTTGGAGAGTCACAATGAAAAAACACATGCATTTCTCTCTCTCGTGCCTGTAATAACTGTACGAGACCTCAAGAGCAATGAGACATTCAATGGCTCTGAAACACATATGCTAAAGTTTCCTTCGTGACAGGGAAGTTTTCTTTACCATTTGTGCTGTTCGGTTGGTGACCAATCCAGAAGCGGGGAAATTGGTGCCGATGGCTGAGATTGGCCCGTTGTGCGCTTGCCCTAACAGGCTGTGGATGTCGCTGGACAGGGCGGCAGTGGAGCCCACGGCGTGATTCCGCAGGACATGGATTGCATCGTCCAGCCTGTCCAGTCGGTCCTCCATCCGAGACTGAAATGAGTGATGCAAAGTGGAGGGAGAGAAAGAGAAAACAACTTGAGCATAAATGATACAAATATCAACAGAGACTTTATTAAAGACACAGAACTACAAAATGGCAAAGACTGAAAAGCAAAGGAACATTCGAAAACAAAGTGAAAAGGAAAAGAAGAGAAAAAGTGAAAGGTTAAACCACTTAAAAAAAACATCTGTTGAAATAAACAAAAATGAAATAAACAGTTTTCCACTAACTAACTGCAAAATGGTAATTTTTATGTATTAATATCATCAAAGATGAAATGGCAAAACAGAAAAAGCACAGCCAAATCAAAAGAAAGCCGATGGCTGAATGGAAAAGAAGGACAGAACGTGACTGTCTGAAGAGCGGGAATACCTCGCAGACATCCTTTAAGAAGGACATGGCATCCTGCAGATGCTCATGAAGCTGCTGGTGCACACGATTTTTCTACAGTCAGACAGGAAGAGGAGAGACACGTACAGTGAGAGATGAGACTGAAAGACTGCAGAGAGAAGCAAGCAGAGCTTACGAGAGCTCGACAGAGAAAGAGGGCAGGGAATCGAAGCGGAGCGCCAACTGCCGACATCTTGGTACTAGTTCAAGTAACTAATTACGATGAACCATGGTTCACTCTGCCGATCACAGCTCATTTCCTGATTCCTGGAGGGCCGCTGCTCATGGACGGTCCATAAAAATGCACTTGCAGCTGGCATACAAGTATTAGAGTAAATATTTACCTACACACCCCATAATGTGAATGTATGATGTGGGAAGGAAAGTGTGTGTGTGTGTGTGTAAACTGATCTCCTGTTGTGGCTCAGCTTCCCAGTCGGCCCTGGAATCCTGCGGCAGTGGTTGAACGCAGCAGCTGCCAGCACCCCACCCCCATCACACACCCTAACCAATCCCTAACCACCCCACCTTCACACACCCCAGCCAATCTTCATCCACCCCGGATGAGAGAGAGGACAGATGGCAGGAGACACGCCCTAAGGGACGGGTATTGTTCTGTCCCCACGGCCCCCTCCCAGTCCCGCTCCTGACATTTGTCAGCCAGGAATGTCCATGTAAAGCTACCCCCTGCCCCCCAGGAGCAAGTCATCTACTGACACAGTGTCCATTAAAAAGTGCTCAGTGCCGGGGGGAGGGGAGAGCGCTCTTACCAGAGAGTGAAGGGAGTTCTCGTAGTTTGGGGAGGAAGGTGCTTGTCCAGTCGCACGGGGCCACTGAGTTGTACCTGCGGACAGAGGCAGAAGAGCTTTTTAGTCACCTGACACATTACAACTAGGTGGCTTCATTGCAACAGGTGAATCTGAAATGAATGAGCAATGGAAAACTGTGCTTTTTGTGCAACATGTCGACTATATATAATATATAAATATATAATATATAAATTTGAAAGAGTCCTAAAACTTTGAGTTAAGAAACACATTCATTGTTAATGTTACTGAAATAATGGCATTTAATAATATAATATAATATAATATAATGTAACATAACATAACACAATATAATATAATTAAAAGACTCAAAAAACTCATGAGTCATTGGTTAAGAAACACATTCAATGTTGTCATTTGTACAGTAAATGGCATTTTATAATATAATAAAATATACTTTTATTTAAACTAAAACTCATGAGTTATTGGTTAAGAAGCACATTTACTGTAACAAATGATATTTAAAAAAATAATATATGTGACCATGGACCACAAAACCAGTCATAAGGGTACATTTTTTTAATCAGAAAGCTGAACAAATAAGCTTTCCATTGATGTATGGTTTGTTAACATAGGACAATATTTGGCCGAGATACAACTATTTGAACATCTGGAATCTGAGGGTGCAAAAAAATCTAAATATTGAGAAAATCACCTTTAAAGTTGTCCAAATGAAGTTCTTAGCAATGCATATTACTAATCAAAAATTAAGTTTTGATATATTTACAGTAGGAAATTTACAAAATATCTTCATGGAATATGATCTTTACTTAATATCCTAATGATTTTTGGCATAAAAGAAAAATCGATAATTTTGACCCATACAATGTATTTTTGGCTATTGCTACAAATATACCCGTGCTACTTAAGACTGGTTTTGTGCTCCAGGGTCACATATTATATTGAAAACTTATGAGACAGTTATTGGTTAAGCACATTTGCTCTAGAAAAAAAAACTTAAATATATAAATACAAATAAATAAAACAGTTTCATTCAAAAGATTATTTAAGAAACACATTCATTGTTCTTGATATGAATAGTATTTTAATATACTTAAAAATATTTGTTCATAATATAATACAATGCTTTTCTTTTATGTAGTGTGCAGTGCACATGGTACAATGCACTGATACACTTTCACAAAAGACTAAAACTCATTTCCTATCCTGACTGATTCCAGCTATTCTCAACGTGGGCTGTTTTCCTCTAGGTCTCCAGACACATCATTTCCTATGACTGGGTCATATCCTGCAATGTGAGAAGAGTTCGAGGACGACCCTTACATGCATACATACACAAACCAGTGCTGAGGGACATCTCCTACTTCCTCTCATTAATGAAGTCATGACTAAAAAAACCTGGCAGAACAATGTAGGACCGCGATAAGGGCGATGACTTGGACCCTGAGCGTCTTCCCTTGACTCTAATACTGCATGAGCTCAACGGAGAAGCTCGGTATTCTAGACGTAACAGGATGAGACCACGACTCTCTCTCAGATCTCAACTCGCACAAACAAACTACTGGACGGTGAGCGGTGATGTGACCAATCTCATGTCAGACGCTGTCAGGGAAAAGAAAAAGCACTGTTTTGCCACATTACTCAAGTAGCAGCATAAGATTTTATTTGGCTTGGTCACATTCTTAGCCCTCAGACTCAATGTTTCGCTTTTTTCCCCCTTCAAAATTCAGTCGCTGGAAGAATTCAGTGAATGTGTTTTTGTTCTGTGGCAGAGTGTGTGAGGCTGGAAGGGACTATAATGAGGATGTAAATGACTCTGGTCTGGTCTCGGTCTAAACGTGCTGACTCTGACTGGCCATAAATCAACACCGCTCTAAAAGAATGCACATCTGCTAATCACAAATCAAAACGCTGGTGGTGGGGGTCGCTTTCAATCCCTTCACTTCCAAGTCTACTTCACTCCAACTGGCAAACAATCCATTACAAAAAGTCTTGTGTGAAGGCTGTGGAGAACAATAAAACAGGCCAAGTACCCTTAATGTAGCATGACCCAAATCCTTATTTACATTAATCAGTTTAGGAGGGAGATCTGCGCTCCTCGTCCTTCGACCCGACTCCACCAGGCACAGACTCAACCACTGACTCTAGGTGCTTTGTTGACACCAGAGATTTCCTATTTTGCTGGTTGTCATAACGGACCTGCTGTGGTCATACGTCTAGCTCTGCTAGCATAGCGCAAGTCCTTCTCAGAAACAATCGGTGAATTTCATCTCGACCATTCAACCATTCGTCCTTCCCAAAGCGAAAGCAGCTCTAATTTGAAGGAATTCACTCTTTGAAACCACAAAGCTCTCAGAAGCAGACTCTTATTAAGGGCCTATTAAAAATTACTTTGGGGCTATGAGAAGAGAGTGCAGGGTTTAATAAGGCATCATCATCGGCGGCCAGCTTGACAAATGAGCGTGGGCCGGTGTGGCACTCTGCACGTGCTGCTGGGGTCTAATTGGCTGGTATGGGCAGCAGAGACCCAGCCACGAGCAGGTCTAATGGCTGAATCCTAACTAATCCAGAGAAACAGATGGATGTGCTTCGCTTAATCATAACATCATGTGCACCAACGTCTAAGAACCATCTAATCACAAAAAAATTTTCAAAATATAAAAGTCCTCAGATATCAAAGGGAACGTTGACTGCCTGCATGTGAGTGTAAATCAGCTTAATGATGTGATAAAATTGCAGGCAGAGAGAAAGCCAAATGTGACTAAATACTAACAGCAGACCAACATTTTGATTAATCAAACAATATTTGATGAATGAATTCTGTTCTTTCCAAAACTGTTTTGATAAATTTTAAGTAAATACATTTTTAAATAAATACATTTCTTATTTTATATCTTATTTTTTCCAATTTAAATATACACTACTATTCACAAGTTTGGGGTCATTCAATTTTTTCAAGGAAATTATATTTGTTTTCAGCAACAATGCATTTAATTGACAGTAAAGACTTTTAAATTGTAAAAAAAAATCTATTTCAAATAAATGTTGTTCTTTTGAACATTCTATTCATCAAAGACTCCTGAAAAAATGTATCACAGTTACTACAACAGTATTAAGCAACACGACTGAAGTATTGTGACACTAAAGACTGGAGTAATTGCTGTTGCAAATTTAGCTTTGTCATCACAGGAATAAATGACATTTTTAAATATATTACATAGAAAACATTTTAAATTGTAATAATATGTCACAATATTACTATTTTTACTTTATTTTTGATGAAATAAATGCATATAATCAAATAAATGAGCATAAGTGACTTTTTAAAAACAAAAACTTACCAAACCCAAACATTTAAATGGTAGTGTACATTAATTGAAATAGAAAATATAGAAACATATTTAAAAATAAGCAAATTATTTACTTACACATTTAGTACATTTATATATTTTTAAAAAGGAATTCTTTAAATAATAAAAAAAGGTGCGCTAAGATGACAGAAAGTTACATCGTAAGGTACAGACTGCTGAGTGGAGAGGAAGGCTGTCTCTGAGCTGAGTCATCCTCTCCCTCCCTTCCTCTCAGTCAGTCATGCTAATAAATGAGGATCTTTGCAGGCCGGTCTGTCATGGGCAACAGCTGTGTGAGGAACAGGGCAACAGCTGAAGCTAAGGAGTGGGACAGACACCGACACAGCTGTCACCACTATATCAATGAACACACACACAACTGCCCTCTCACTGAAACAACACGCTGAGAAAATGCCATTTAGTCTATCCCTCTGTGCTTCAAAATATTTTTTCATTTAAAATGACTGTGCATCAGTCTTGTCAGGCGCAGATAAAATCTTCACAGTGGTCGGTTATCTATCCACCGCTAACCAGGGCATAACTCCCCCGACACCATCTTCAATCTCAGCGGCTGCGGGACAGTGTGTTTACTCATTTACGTGAGGAGGACGGGGCTCGCTGTGTTTGGGCTACACCGCGTCAGTGTGACATGTGAGTTGGGCGGTCGAGACAGGGAAGGAGCTGACACTGGTATTGTTTGATAGTAGGCGAAAATCCTAGTATGGTGATAAACAGACCACTGTGATTGTTCATTAGACAAGAGCTTATTCCAGAATCACAGATCAATGTTTAACGAATGATAGTGTGTAACGGATCATGTTTACATGCTTATATATACACAATACTGTGGTATTGTGGTTGTCTGTTATTGAAATCTAAATGAAATGCAAAATGTGGATTGTGTTGAGGGTCTGTCTAAATGTGTGAAATAATGAGCTACAGTGGCCCCAAAAACCATATAGCCTTTTTGATGGACGACGTATACACTGACCAACAATTAAAAAACAAAGCGGACAGCATAGAAGAATGTGTTCTGTGTGAACGGCCCATCAGACTGACAAACTCCTATAAAATGTATTGTTGTGTAGACTGGATAATATTAATATAATTATTAATATATTAAATAAAGTAATATTTTTTTAAAGCTGTACACTACTGCTCAAAAGTTTGGAGGCAGTAAGGTTGTTTTCGAAAGCTTTGAAGTCTCTTATGTTCACCAAGGGTGCATTTAATTGATCATATTTACAGTTTTGTGCTTTGTGTATATATATATATATATATATAGTATGTATGTTTTAATGTATATATATATATATTTTTTTTTCAATTATTTAAAACAGATTTTCTTTTGAACATTATACATTTATTTCTTAATTGTCACTTTTTATCAATTTAATGCATTTCTGCTGACTTAAAGCATTAATTTTTTTTTTTTTAAATCATACTGACCCCAGACTTTCCAACAGTGCACATTCTATTATTTACTCATCTGCAATAATGTATTTGCATTATCTTAATTTGACACCTTTTCTAAGTAAATATTGAATTAAATGCAATTAAACATGATTCAAATAAACATAAATGATTCACAGCCCCATTAAAATGTATGTCAATGCATTAGATGACAAATGGAAAACAAACTGGCACTTACTATTAAAAAATTAGCAAATGCACACTTATTAGCACAATTTCAGGTTTTAAATAAAAACCAACACATATTGTTAAAAATTAAGACAAAATATTTCAATTTTTTTTGGGATTATGTCCATACCCGTGTTTACTCTAATAGTACACCCTTGTGACTTCACATATATACTAAAAATGGCTTTGGGATTAATTAAAAAGAATTACAAAAAGTACTATTGAAGTGATTTTTGAAAAATGTTCAAGCACCAACATGCTTACAAATATTGTGTTATATGATCCACACATTCATATATTTTTAACTGTGTCCAAATACTTCCGAGGGCCACTGTGTGACTGACCAGTGAGGGTGTGGTGTGGAGAGAATGTGTGTGTGGGGTCAGAAAGGCAGACTGGTGCTCTACCTGCCCTTCCTGTGGGGCCGCTGGTCGTCACCACTGTACCTGCTGTGCCAGCGCCTGCCTGAGCCATCAGAGGAGAGGGAGAGCCCACTGGAGTGGAGGGGTTTGAGGGGAAACTACTGCTGGTGTGGTCAGGAGAATAAATCTGCAAATGAGAGCGAGAGAAAGAGAGAGATCAGTCTGTGAGGAAGCACGCGCAACCTTTAAAACCTGCAACCTGTCGTTTCCCTCCCTGGCTTTACGGCCGCGGTTAGCATCCCTCAGTCTGTGCTCAGCCAAAATTGCCTCATCAATTCTGCTGATTTTACAAGCGGAGCAGCAGTAAAAAAATGCTCACAGCATACATATGGGCTTTTAACAGCCTATGCCACCCTTTATAATGTCTGCAGAAAAACACACAACCCCTCCTGCACTCTAAATGCTGTGTGACACCTGCAGTCCAGCCAGCGTTCCCTGGCCACATCTGTGGTTGTTATTAAGTCAAAGCCTGGGCCCACGCCACACACCCGCTGCATGTTGCACATCACAAGTGAAACCACATGAGCACAAAAGATCAGAAGCCCTGCAAGAGAGCGGGAAAAAGGCTAAACAAACAGTGGTGGTAATAATTCACATTAGAGATTGGTGATATGGTGACAGTACATATAAAACAATAGTGATATCAAATGTTTTATATATTACATAACCATTATTTTACTTTGTTTATAACCAGGTTCGTATCAAAAGATAACATTATTCTGAAATGAATTCTGTCATAACTGATATAATACTTCACACTTTTCAGTTAAAAACAAAACAGTAACATTATAAACATGACTAGATGAGCTGCATTAGAAGCCATTGTAAAATATGCTCAAATTCTGTTTACATGGCGTCCATAATGTCACTTCTAATACATAATAGAGAGGAGATGGAATAGAGAAAAGCAGCTGGATGATGCAGAGAAAGAGAGAGAAGACATGGTCATTAATCTCTCTTTTTGGAGCTCATTAGAGTGAATGAGTCTGGCCCGTGGCTGTGTGGATGGGCGTCTCTGGCTCATCTTCAGTTATGGATGAGAGGTAATAAAGCCTCTCCCAGCTTGCCCAATAAACAGCGACCGAGACAGGCACAGCCCTGCCCACACCATAATAAACAAACAGATGCTATGAAGAAGAAAGGCCTCCAGCCTTTACCTCATAGTGCAGCACCACCGACAGGCTTTTTCCACCTTACCGGTGTTGTTTGCGTGAGAAAAAAAAATCAGAAAATTCTGTCTTTGAAACTAGAAAAGGGATTTTTTGGTTAAGCCAAATGTCAAATGCAAGTAAACATCCCTGCCATGCTCTGCTTTCTGCTAAAATGGTTTTCGGTCCCATAATGGAAACCACTATGAAACATGCAGGTTTTGATCCCAATTATCTGGCAGGATTTGAGAAAAACAGCTCTAAAGTTGTGGGCCATCACTTGCAGGGGATCATGAAGTCCATTTGACTTAAAAACACATCAAAATGCGGATACTATCGTTATTAATCTTCTTATTAAACCCTGAATGCCACACTTTTGTGTTTCAATCAACTCTGCAAATCCTGCCTGGGGCTTTAGTACATTCATCTCTCAGAGCAGACGGAGAGATAGAGGGGGCCAGTGATAGAGTGAGAGTGATATACAGAGAGACACAAAGAAAGAAATCCTCTGCAATATTAACAGATATTTACTGATATCAGAGGCTTTTTTTTCATTTATTTAATGCATAAATTCAATTATCAGCTACAAATTCAATTATCCTTTTTTCAATTTCATAACATCTTAGTATTTGGTTTGACTATCTTCCATTTTAAAAAGACTTGAGCTGCAAGAACTCCACAAGTGATGATTCATGTGATTCATGTTCAAGTTCATGTTCTGTAACATGAATTGAGATGATTTAAAGAGCATCTTGATCTTCAATCTGACCATCTGTACAAAGAGCCACATGATCAACATCACAAATGTGCTTATTTCATTAGTAGCCTCAAAATAGCATTGATTCTGAAAATATTTATTATACATTTTGTCATAATACTACTGTGTTTTTTAATATGGCAAAATACTAAAACTTGGTATTTTTTTCCAGACTTAAATTATACTGAATCCCAATTTTAAATATGTAGCCTCTAACAGTTCGTTTCAAGTGAATTTCGTCTGGATGTTTCCTTATTGTTCACCAGTAAAACGCAGTATCTGATCCATCACGGCAAGCGGCCGTCCCCTTTGCCCTTGTGCTTCAGGACCTCTTATGGTCATGAGTCCTGACCTAATGAGTTGAAGCGGGCCATTCGGAGCGTCCTGGCCGACTTCTGCTGTATTTCCAGTGTAACACCACTCATTTTACAAACAACAAAACGGATCTCCGCCCCCTCATCAGTCACGCTGCTCTCCGCCAGCGGGGGCCCAATGAGCACAACCCATCCAAAAGGAACCTAAACAAAAGTGGCACAATGGGCGGCCTGCAGAGCCGAGCCGCAGCAGTTAGGACGTTTCCCCCCACCCCAGCCCGACCGTGTCCGTTTCACCACAGCTTTATCATGCTAATAGAATTGAGTCTGCAAATACAAAAAGACTTAATTTGTGATTATCTTTCAGCCACACTGTCTTGTGTTTGTTTGTGGGCCAAAGTGTGCTCTCGTGGCCCGGCAGGCCTCACCCACAGTATCTTATTACATTTTTTCTTCTCTTCTTTCTTTTCCCCAATCAAAGAGCAGCGATTAGGCGTCTAATTTCTCAGAAAAGGAGGGCGCTACGACCGTTCCGACATCAAAAGGTTAGAAAAAGCTTGTCCTTGTCCTCGGCCGAGACGGCTCCCGTCCGAAACAGTGCTGAATCAGTCCAGATGTGTTCCTACTTTAAAAAAGGCTTGTTGTGACTTACTGTAGGATAAGCAAGTCTGCAGGATTTTTTGGAGCTAAATAAGTCTTTAAGTTAAGCTCGGCAAGTTTTAGAGGTTATTGTAAGCTCCAGTTTCAGGCACACATTAGGAACTCGCAGGAACGCCAGCACTCATTATCCAAACCAACATATAATCCACAGGCTTTTATGTACAGCTCCTTTTCTTGTATACTGCGAGATTAAGAGCACAATTATCCGGGCTTAGGTCCAGCAACATCCACAAACAGATCCTCTGACCTTATTCAATCTCTTAACCTTCTACACTGCTACTAATGCCCAGCCTAAGAGCACAAGTCCTGTCTTTTAAAGAATTAACTGCGCCATTATGTCGGGTAATCTCGCCCGCGTCTACAACACGAAGATCCCGAAAGCAAGTTGGACAACATGGGACATGCTTACGATGCCTGAAACCGTACAGCGCTCAGTAGTTCAAATAATAACAATGTATTTTATCCATTGCACGATCTGCAAAAGATGGAGGGATGTATAAAGATGGAAGTCAATCCCTGTTCTCTGAAATGGTTAGTGTATGGATTAATGGGGAAGGATCTCACCGAAGCCAGGGCTTTTCCCAGCGCGTCTCCAGTCTGAGAGCTTCCAGTGGCGTTCCCTCGGTTGGCAGCAGCTACACAAAGACCACACAGAGATACAGCATTCACATGGGAACAGAGCTGACAGAGATATTAATGTCATGTGTTTTTTTATTGGCCAGTAGCAGCTGGTGCTAGGTGTGTCGAACTACAAAAAGTGCTGAAATAAATAAGTGATAAATAACCTTCAACCCTTCAACAATGTTTTGGGATATTTAAAAAATGATGTGATATTTGCGTGAAGAAAAATGATATACATTATTTTGTATATGGCAAATCAAAATTAAACATTTATTTTTTATTCTTTAAAAAAAAAATGTTTTAATGTTTTTGAAAGAAGTCTCTTACACTCACCAAGGCTGCATTTATTTGATCAAGAATACAGTAATAACAGTAATACTGTGAAATATTAATAAAATTTTTAATACTCAAATATAATTTATTTCTGTGATGGCAAAGCTGAATTTTTTTGCAGTCATTACTCCAGTCTTCACTGTCACATGATCCCTCAGAATCATACTAATATGATTCGGTGCTCAACAAACATTTCTTATTACTATCAAAGCTGTGCTGCTTAATATGTTAGTAACTCTGATACATTTTTTCAGAATTCTCTGATAAATAGAAAGTTTAAAAGAACAGCATTTATTTTAAATATAATCTTTTGTAACACTGGGAATGTCTTTACTGTCACTTTTGATCAATTTAATTCATCCTTGCTTATTAAAAGTATTATTAAAAACTTACTGACCCCAAACCAGTAGTGTATATATAGAGTATGCCAAATTAACTCTCTATAATAACTCTATGATGTTTTGCAGACGCACAGATTATGTGTGGGTCTAAGCATGACTAAAAAATCAAGAACAACACTACAAATGTGGTGTGCGCAGACAGCGTACCCATAACTCCCTCTGCGGTGTTGACTGGTGGGGTGTGAGATGCGGTGACGAAGGGTGAGGTGCTGGCACTGCCGCGGTGGAAGCTGGACATGGGTGGCAGGCTAGCGTTGATGTCTGTGGGCGACACCGGGTGTGGCGGGTAGTTCTGTGACAGAGACAAAAGGAAGAGGAACTTTCTTTAGTTTTATATATGGTTATACTACAAGGTCTGTATTTGATCTGTTTCCACTGATTCTCACCAGGCGGTCGTGTGAGTGCAGGTTGCTGTAGTTTCCAGACTGTGGCATGTGAGATGAAGATCCTCCCAGCATTGCCCCATAGCCTGGCTGGCTGATCCCACTGGACGAGTTCCACTGGTCAGAGGAATTGTGGGTCCCATCTGATGAAGTGACAAGGGAGTAAACTTGAACATTAAAAACATGAGAAATATCTTCATTCAGTTACTTTGTATACTTTGACCCCCACACTCCTTATTCTGGATAGAGGATGTCAAATAGACCAGTCTCTCTTTTACAAAAGTCTGCTTTTACACTTGAGTCAGAGCCAAGCGCTGAGCGCAGCTGAGATAACATTCAGCCAGCCGCAGTTCACTTGCTTCCGCCTCAACTTTTCAAGGAGAAATTCCTCACAGCCCGAAACACACGGCTTGAAATGGCCATATAATTTTTATCAGTCCAGATTGGCAAAGTTGGAATACGCATGGTTGGTTTACTATCAACGTCTGTGAAGTCGGTAGCATGATAGGCAGTGAGTGAAACGTAAAGAGAAGGCTTCCCAATTGTGTAAAAAGAAAAAAAAAGGTTCAAAGTGTGCGCTAGGAGAAGGAACATACCAGAAACCGTATATTCAGGGTCTGAAAATGTTTATATAACTAAAGTGGATTGGAAGAAGATTCAGCTTTAGAAGTGTGTGTTGCCAAAAAAATGAAATTAGCATGATGAATCATACGTGTGAGACCTGTTAATTAAGCAAGTCCACAATTTCTAGGATGCATCTCTGTAACATGCTAGAAAATATTCAACATTTAATTTTTTTATAGCGGTTAATTTAGTGTTTGGCCTGAATACACTACGCAAGCACATGAATGCAAATGCATCTAGCTATGAAAGCTCAATTTCATGTGTTATGAAATACGGCAGACCACATTGCAATGCTATATTGTGCATATCACCTAGTAGTTTTCTCTTTTTACAGACCCCTGCGTCTGAACAAACATACATTCCTACTATATGATAGGGGAAAAACTGTATGTGAGAGTAGCATGTCTGAATTCATAGTATGCATGAAACAACTGGCACAAAAGTATTTGGATGACCAAGTTTTTCTGCCAAAATTCTTGTTGTGTTGTGAGTTGTGAATGGCAGTGAAGTGATGCAACTGACACCATCGGTAATATGACAAAGTCAGCATGGCAAATGTTGTACACCCAGATTTCATTCATACTATATATAGAATGTCCTTTGTAATGATAGCAAAATTTGTTCCTCGTCAAATTTAGTACCTACTCTGATTCAGTATGCGATTTCAAACGGATTGTGGTGCAACAGTTTTTTTTAGCAAATTCAAATCAATATATACCTCAATGATAACAACTAGTTTAACAGCAAACATATCTTAAGATACATCAATTAACCCCATTAGTACTGGGTTTATAATCGAAGAACGTATGCGATATGCATGTTCAGTACAACAAAACCGTGTGTTTGCAATGCCGTGGCCAAGCATTCTTGTCTGCACTTGCATATTTGTATAAAATGTTGCTGACCTTAAACACAAAAAAGGCTTCCTTTACAAAGTCAAAACTAAGTAAACAGTATAATAACAACAAATGACAAATAAAATGATGATGACTGACCGAAGAAAGTGCTTGCAAACATACTGCTGGGGGGTTTGGGGGACGGGTAAGATGGAGAGTCTCTGTTGAAGTCATCTGAGCTTGGAGTTGGTGCATACACCTGCGAAAAGGAAAACAAAATGAGACATTATGACTAAGAACAACTGCTTACAGACAGGTGTGAGGGAATGTAAGCTGCTGTTTTTGTAATTTCTATAAAATAGAGCGACCATCGTACAGACACGCTCATGTCATTAAGCATATCCTCATACCCTCAGTCTAATTCACACATACCATGAAACCTGACTGCATAATAGAACACAAACAATGCAATGCAACGCATATGGCCAATTTACAAATTCTTTGATGTAACAGATGGCTAATTTAGAAGTCTTATAAAAAAAGGGAGGATTATCTGCAGCGTAATGTGCGCTTCAGCGCTTAATTGTAATATTATGACGACGGCATGCCCGCCGAACAAAAGCATCAAAACAAATGGATTAATATGCGAGGGCGAGAGCGTTAGGGTGCATATGTGTTTGTGTTTATGCAAGAGTATTTTAGGAGCTGTGGGGTTGGATCGGGTCGGGCCAGCGGAGCAGTGGTTACAGCTGCAGAAGTGCCCATTCCTGTAGAGGAGGATCAAAGGCATGAGGCTACAGCTCAGTAATGTGGCTCTCTCAGTTCATCTGCTCCAGATGGGACAAAACCTCTCGGAGCGAGAGAGAAAACACTAGCATGTATGGCACGAAAGAGAACGCTAGGTAAACATGTTAAAGAAAGTCTCGCACATTATCTGTGGTTAAGCAAGACAGACTCGCTCGGGCCTCACTTTTAGGTGTCCGTGTCACCTGCCGTTTAAATTCCACCCAGCAAGAACCTGACTGCCCCGTTATGTCTGTAAGAACCAATCCCTGTAACGCAGAGCAGATGTGCAGCCCAATGTGTTTCAAGTTACTTTAAGTTAAACACAACCTCTCCCTCTGCTCGACATCACAGCAACTTTTATTCTTTAAATAAAATCAAACCACATGATATAATGTCATCGCTCTCTGAGAAACACTAGACGTCTGATACAAGGCAAACCATCAAGTGTATAAAAGGGCATTGAAAGTTAGACAGAATAAAAACCTGCCCTGAAAATAACTGTTACAATTCTTTACTAAATTACATTATTTGAACATTATCCTAAATTTGTCTAAATTCATTTTAATTACTTTTTAATTAATTAAAATGTAATTAAATGTAATAAATTAATTACTTTTTAAAAAGACTTTATTTATTTTTAATAATTTACTTTTAAATAATTAAAAGTCAATTTACACCAAATCAAATCAGACAAATCAGTGTGACTTATCTTTGCTAATGATCAGTATCTGACATTTAATAAAAGAATAACTGTGTGCCAAGACATAAATACAATTCTTTACTAAATTACATAAAATCTGAACTTTATTTTATTTATTTTTAATTATTCATTAATTTATTATTTAGTATAAATTCATAATTAATCACACTGTAGTGAAATACTGAGCAAAACAGAATTGTAAAATAAAATACATTTAATTTAAAAAAATTGCAACAATAGCCTAACTTTATCATTAATAAGAAATTAATATACAATACACTGGCAAGTATTGTAGTAATTATAATCAAATATTAATTGCATTTAATTTCCATCGTCAGATCCCCCCCCGCTCATTAATATTTCAGATGTACGCAGATCCCCTTCATCACCCACGCAACACACGGCTGCAGCATGTCATGACACACTCTGCATTACGATCAACATCTAAAGCCTTTCAGTCAGCTTAGCCAGCTGTGCGCGGCCGGGTACCTTGATGAGGCGGCAGTACGTGCCCATGTGATTGGCAGTGAGTGTGTTCATAAGCTGCGGCGGGCTCCCGTGGGTGTGCAGGCGCACACATGTGACCCCAGCGCTGGAAGTCCCCTGGTGATCTCTGGTTAGGGTGGCGTGGGAGAGGGGCCTTTGTCTCCGCCTCATGGCTCAATGGGCAGCATATGGCAGCGGATAATGCTAATTGTCCGCTTTACCCTGAGCTAACCAGTCGACCCGTTAATAAACCTTCCTAAACACCGGCGCCCCGCTCCACCACCAGGATGGAGAATGAAAGAAAGCGCGAGAGAAAGAGCAAAGGAAACGCTTCCTTTGACCAGGGCTTTAATTAGGGAAGCTGTCAGTTATTCACAAGCCTCACGTTTAAAAGTTTTTTTTCCCCCCCTCATTGTACTTCTTTAAAATGTTAAATGTGGAAATAAACTTCGCAAATAAATGGTGTATATTTAGAGCTCCTAGAGCTTTCTAAGACTTTTCCAGTCATTTGTGATAAGAATTTTAATTTCTAGAGATTGCAATCACAAAGAGAAATTTATAGCTACATAAATATTTTAATATCCTTTACATGACTTTTATTGTTATTTTTTAAAGAATTAATTTCCACTAATTTTTCCAGGCCTAGAAATTATCATTTTAAAATACCTTGATATTTTCATAACCCCAGCAACCCTGTATTTGGTTTCCAAAAAGACAAAATTCATCTCAAGCTGTTATTAAAATATAGTCACGGGCAAAAAGCAATATAAATAGCATTTTTTTTTTTCAGTTCCTGTGTGAGTCAATGGAGACGAAGGCTCACGCTGATGAGTGAAATGACTTTTTCTTTTTTTTTTCTCGCCTGCCACACCTTCCTTTGATCTGAAAACCACATCCATCACAACAACACAGGGAAAAATCACTAAACTGTCAACATATGGATAAGCCCAATGACAACAGTGAAAGAGGCAGGGAATAGAGAGAGAGAAATGATTATGGAGGGAGAAAAAAAGGCCGAACAACAGACAAACCCACAAGGACGGGTTCAGAGCAGAGGGACCGCGAGTGACAAGAAAATATCCTGCCTCTGCATGTCACTTGTTTGGAGTCGGATCGCGGCCCGAGGGCCTTCCTTTTCAACTCCCATCTAACACACTTTCAAGGCGAAAAGGCACGCTACACGCACACAATGAGCCCCTATTGAACACAGCAGCTCTGTCCTGAAGGGACACGTTTTGACTTTTAAAGCCAAGTCTGTCTACAAAGAGCAGACGGTAAAAGTTTGAAAGTTAAAAGCATTTTGTTCCTTACAGATACAGGTGGAAGCCTTTCGAGAGCAGAAAAACAACACGCACGTTTGCTTTGAACAACTACAGACGAGCAACGCTGACTCATTATGCAAAGTTTCTACCAGAACAAAACCTTCAAAAAGGCTCAGTATGTATCTGAGAAAAAGAAAAAAAAGAGCACCGAGCACTATTTTCCAGCGGAACACCACATTAGCCCTGTAAATCTTAAAGGAAAAGCGACCACCTTATACAAACACTAACACATACGTGAATTAAAGCGAGAACAGCAGAGAGGAATTAAAATACTTCACACGTCATAAACTGACCCAATCAAAGCCGGGGAGGCCGCTTTCCCTCCTGGGCCCGGCCATAAAACTATTGGTACCAGCCTGACATTCAAACAAATCAATGTGACTTTTATCTTTGTTGATGCTCAGAGCATCTGACATTTAATAAATAAATAATATCGGTGTGCCAAGATATAAGTAAACCAACACAAGGAAGGGTTTATTGGGCATTTACCCACTGCTTTGGATCATAAAGCTAAACTCTGACCCAAGTGAGCCACATGCTCCTCATTTTCTCTTTCCTCCCAGCCTGCATTACAAGGCTGGAAATACTTAATATAAAAAGATCAAAGTGAGCTTTGTGGTGCAGGAACAAAGAGATCTGTCATAATGGCCTACGAGGAAAGCTAACTCTGGACTCTGTCAGATGACCTCAAAAGAAGTGAAAACACAAGCTGGGGTCTCACGTTTTGTCCCCAGAAACGATCGGGAGCTTGGAGATTGGAAATTTTAGAAAGTTGTGCAAACATGATTGCTGCTGCCCTTGTTAAAAGCAGCAGTAATAATGTGAATAACATATAAATTTAATAAGCAAGCTCTTATGAAATGGGTAACGGATCATTCTTAAATTCATCAAACAGATGGAGAAATCTCCAGAGCCCTGCACAGACACAGAGAGAAAGACATCAGGGAAATCTACTGGAAACTTTTTCCTCTCTACTGAAGTAGAGCGTTCAGTGCTTTGCATTGTCTGGGGAGCAGAGACTCACTTTAAGGAAGTAGGTGGAACATTCTGCCCCCCCAACACACATGTTTACTTGGCCATCTAATTCAGGACAGAGCATAGAGATTTTTATATAGCTAATTATACCTAAATCACTACAAACTAACCCAAACCTGAATAATTAATAATAATAATTACATCCCAAAAAGACGTTTCAGTCATATTTACGTAGCTTATGGGGGGGGAAGTAAACCAAAGTAATTAAAAGTAAATATTAAAGTAACTTATTAAATAAATAACATTCACATTTACAGTTAATCATTCTTTTTTCTAATTACATGAATCATTTTTACCTATGAGGTCATTCCCAAAGGGAAGTTTTATCAGATTTTGCTATCTTTCCGGAAACCCTTTAATCAAAGCCAAGCAAACTCAAACACCCACTCGTGAGGCACAAGTGCAGGTTCGAGTCGCCACCTCCTCTTTCTCGTAAGCCCGTACCACCAATCCAATCATCAAGCACCTGACAAACGTTCAGCACACACGCACACGAGCGTTCACACGGACAGCCACACGCAGACAGGCAAACAGGCATCGTGAGAGGCACACAGAAATCAAAGGGCCTGTGGTGGAGAGGTTTAGGAGTCCCATCAGGATTCCTGTAGAGAGAAGAATGCCTGGCTGATTAAAAACAGATGGAGAAACAGCGATGCTGCAGCTCTGAGCTCAATCTGCAAACAGGAAAGTCAAACCTCAACAGACAGACTCTCTTCCTTAATCATTCCCAGACTCCCACTTGTAATTACTGTGAACCCGTCTCAGCAAAGCGGCCGCTCAGAGCTCACGGTGAGCCACAAGCACCACCAGCATCAGTCACACACAACTACCAATACACAGAAAAACCTGACGTTTATGCCAAACAAGTGCGATTTTATCAAGAAAACTGCGACAGACTTGCAGAAGTGTCACTTTCCCTCCAAAAAGCAG